GGGAAGAGTGATGCATGTCCCAAAGCTATGCAAAATGCATAATCAAGCATTTAAATACACACCAGGAGAATGGGTGGGTGCGGCGGATTCAAGTGCATACATAGCCCAGCCTATATACGCTATACTTAGAGTGGATTACATACATGCACAATCATATGAGCATGTGCACACAAAATGCTTACTAGTGGAAAACCGTGTGGTGCTCAACTTTACACTAACAGTCCAAAGTATTCCCACGCGCCGCATTGCCACTGAAGCTACGTATAGGAATTCTCCGAGGTGTATTAGAGTAAATCCAGAGCTTTGTGTGGTCGCTTGTTGGGGAAGTGGGATAAATGTACTGAAGGCTGTTCTCTCATCACATTTACATAGTGCAATTGTGCCTCCATTTGCTTCATCCTTCTTTACTCAGCTCAGGCGCGGTGGTAGTTAGGGAGGAAGGCTCTTCTTATTCCCAGTTTACAGACACACTGCAGGCAACTAACAAAGAAACAAGTAAATGATAAAAATGTGAGGTGGCTCCCCTGAGAGCCAGACAAACTACAGATGCAATTGTACACCGGTGTACTCTGGAAGCAACTGGGAAGACACCATTTAAGATTAATTACCCACAAAGAAAAAAATAATCATTGTTTTTGAATTTAAGAATTATTATTGCTACTGTCTTTACAATACCACAACATGACAAAAAGAGCCCACAGATATGCAGACAGGTTCAGAAAACGCATTTTGTGTCATTTATCTTGTTTTAATAAATGATTGTTTAAAAAAAAATTAACAGGGACTGAATTGATAAACTTTGGGCAAAAAGTTAAAACAGAGATTTGTAGAACAGGTATTCAGAAGATGGTCTTAAATAAAGAAGACAGTGGAATCAGGAGGGAAGGATATGGCTAAAAGAGCAGCATCCTGAGGCCAGAGGCAGCTGCAGTGACCAGCTCAGCACTTTATATGTGTCTAATCCAGTCCTTCTCACAAAGAGAGAGAGGGGTGAGAAAGCGAGAGAGAGAGAGAGAGAGAGAGAGAGAGAGAGAGAGAGAGAGAGAGAGAGAGGGAGGGAGGGAGGGAGGGAGAAAAAGAAGAAGAAAAAAATAGACAAAGAGGAAAAGAGAGAGAAGAAACAAGAGAGGGGGGAGAGAGACAGAGGTTGAGCATAGACAGAAGAGAAGAGTAGAGAGAAGTGAAAAAAAAAAAGAAAAAGAGGAGAAAGGGGGTCTGAAGTCCCTCTCTCAGACACAAACTCTGGTCTTTTGCTCTCTTTTTTTAATTCTGTCTCACTCTCTGGGCCATTGCTCTGTCACTCTCTGGCCAGTCTCTCAGTCTCTCTTACCCATCACCCTCACTTACTCTGGCCTGTGTCTCTCTAGCCTGTCTCCCTCACTCTCTCTGGTCTGCCTCACTCTCTCTGGCCTCTCACTCACTCTCTCACTCTGGCTTGTCTCACTCATTCACTCACTCTGGCTTGTCCCTCTCTCACTCTCTCTGACCTGTCCCTCTCTCGCGCTCTCGTTTGTGTCTCTGTCACTCTCTGGTCCGTCTCACTCACTCTCTCTGGCCAGTCTCTCTCAATCTCTCTTTTCAGTCTCTCTCACTCTCTCTGGCCCGTCTCCCTCACACTCTCTGACCTGTCTCCCTCACACACTCTCGCCCATCTCACTCATTCACTCTCTCTTCTCCATCTCTCTCACTCACTCTGACCAATTTCACTCACTCTCCCTGGCTAGTTTCTCTCACTCCCTCTTTTCCGTCTCTCTTCCTTTCTCTGGCTCATCTCACTCACTCTCTATGGCCAGTCTCACTCACTCTCTATGGCCAGTCTCTCTCACTGTCTGCCCAGTCTCTCTCACACTCTCTGACCTGTCTTCCTCCCTCACTCTGGCCCATCTCACTCACTAACTCACTCTGGCCCGACTCTCTGACTCACACTGGCCTGTCTCTCACTCTCTGACTGTCTCCCATTTTCCGTCTCTCTACTGTAGCTGGTGTAAATACTGCTTTTTGACATTGCGAGCAGCAGGCTTGTTCTCTCCGGCCTCGGTGGACGCAGGGCTTTAGCCTAATTGGTTCCAGAGCAGACCCTGACAGAATTCTGTTCAGCGGTACACAGCCATATTAATACCCCCGCCACATGCCCCACACAACTACAACAAGCACACCAATCAGTGGCTGGCTGGCTAATTAACGCCTTTACACAGCATCTCATTAGCATGAGCTGTACAAAGGGCAGTGGATGAAATAAGCATTTTGGATAAAAAAAAAAGTGAAATTACTAAATAAGACCATGGCACGTGTGTGTGAGAGCTGTATTCTAGTCAAGGGCCAAGGGCCTTGGCTGCCCCACTAAACAGTGGGCTGCATCTCAGGGGAGTTCATTACAGCTCTCTAAGGGAGCCTTCAGACTCAAAGATAAGCAGAATTTTAAAGGCAATCAGGAAAAATACATCTGAGGCGCACAGGCAACACTTTGGTTGTTAACCAGCGACTTAACCTGCCGGCACTGTGAGTGGAATAGAGATGGATGCAGCCGCCGTGGTGGGAAACACAAGAGTAGTTGTGGACAAAATGTGACTCAACTGAAGGCCTCCACAGAGCTCTAAAGTAAGTGCAAGTCACTGTGGTACACTGAAGCAGTATGCATCTCATTTAGTCTGAGCACATTGAGCAGGCCAGCTCCACTCCTGTTTTTACAGCGGCTCCATCACAGCCTGTAAAAACACCCCCCTTTGAACCCAATAAAAGCAACCAGCATCAAGCTTATTGTAAAAGCCAATCATAGTGTAAATGTTTATCCCCACTCTCCACTCTAAACTCCCCTAATGAGCCTGCTGGAGGGCTCTCCTCTTCATACACACACACACACAGCCCATTCTGGTCCGATTAGGCCGGCTGCTCCAGCGCCATCACCAACACAGTGTGCAGCTACAACGCAGCAAGCCTCTCCTCACACATGATTAAAACACAAACTAGTCCAACTCTCACATAGACATAGGCTCTGTGCTGTCCTCCTCTGTGGAAAATTAAAACAGGCTAAATATAGAGACAAGTACTATGATATCTATTGTTCAAAACTACATTGGCAAGGCTGTGTGTTCTTGAGTTCCTGAAGTGTAATTGGTTGAGAAGGATGTGCCCGGTGACCTCGCTATTATCCATCCATGACCTATCATTATACCCACTGACATGGAGCATGGAGTAAAAGAGAAAACACAGTTTGGAGTTATCATAAGCAGGTAGCTGGAGGTCAAAGGTTTCAGGCAATCAGGACAGGGCTTCCACTCCTGGCAGCAAAGCGGGGAACTCCAGGAGCCCTTTGTACAGAGAGGCCTCGAAATATGCGCTCTTATCAGAATGACCTTAGCACGAGAGCATGGGAAGGCAAGCGGAGTTCATCCATCATCTTCCAGATTAATCCTGCTCGCTATTCTTCTCCTCAATCTATTAATAATGTCGCCCCTGAGAAGATTTATTCTGATATTGTGGCTTTTATTCATTAGCTGAACACTGCAAGATTTCCCTAAAAATACAGGGTAGTCTTTGGGAATTTAAAGTGCAGCAAGTATATTTTTGGAGCAAAGTGTAAGTGATGTTTCCCCTGGTAAGACACATTGACTATTATGTTTTTGGTTATAAAATCAGAGTGATAAAGTTCTATTTTGACAACCTAGAAACAAGTACAGTGTTTATCATGGGTTCATATTGTGGCAAATAAAAATGGGATGAGAAATGAATGCTTGCATTGAGGCAAAATAAAATCTGTCATACTTTCTATTTTAGATGCTAAAATCTAGGATTTCTCAGGTAAAATAAAAAGAAAATTGATCAACAGTCCAAAAACCACGGGCTGAAAATAGCAGATGTAGAATTTTGAATATTCAGACAAAAACAACACACACTCACAGCACTGTGTAAATTAACAATTTCTCTGGATGTTTCAAATCCTTAAATATGCAGCAACTGGAACTGAGCAACTTTCTTACCCCTATAAAATGAAACAAAGAGCTCAACAATCACTTAGCCTTAAGAAAGAGTTCTTTGTTGAGTGTGACTGTGTTAGACTGCCCTGTGACAGGTGAAGCTGGAACAATCCATTGGTTTCCAAAGGCATGTATCTGGATAAGAGCTCCTCGCACTGCGCTCGTTTACACACAGCAGCCACATTAATAGATTGGTACAGTGGATTTCACACAGGCACGCTGCACTGACAGCCCCAGGGGCATACTTCAATTAGAGACTTGGGTGAGTTTTAACACTGCGGATCTCCTCTGGCTCCCTTCACCCCCCCTTCCTCCTCCCCCTCTCTCACAGGCTCTGTATCAGCAGCGAGCACTCACTCTCCTCCTTCAAGTCCTGCTCGCTGTAATCAAGCCACTGCTAATGGCTTATTCTTTCTGCTCCAGCGGCCACATTTCACTTGTTTATTTTCCCACAGTCGTAAATCTGGAGACACGTCACCAGTGCAGCGATATTAGAGCAATAATCTCAGGTAATTATCAGATGCCCTCACTTGCACACCCCATCTCCATCTCCCTCCTGCACCGTTTATCGCACACTTCTCAACACAAAACCACAAAACAGGGGTCAGCCTTAAGATCACATGCTATATAAAAAGCTCTGCCTACTGCTCATCTATCCATAGTTCGAAGGATCTAACCGGATAAATCCACTGTTGCATTTGATGATTAATAATACAATAATTCCAAAATAGCTAAAAGGGGACAACAACAGCCAAACCGTCACAACTAGTGAGGACTGAACCATCAACCTTCAATTAGGGGTCACACTGAGCTTTAAATATATATGTATACACATACATACATACATACATACATACACACACACACAGTGTATACAAATTATCATCATGGGACTAGTGTACATATGGTAAGTGCTTCAAAGTCATATATCCATAAAGTTAATAAGTTTGAAAAGGACGTGCACTATTGCTGCCCTACAGTCTATAACAGACCATATTTGAGGAGTTATAATTACACTGTTCTTACCCACTCGTCCTGGATGAGGCTGGCTGCCTTGTTTCCCCGCATCAGGTTTCGACACGCCAAGATCACATGGGCCCCATGCAGAGCGAAGGACCTGGCCGTCTCAAAGCCTAGAAGATGCACACAGATTAAAAAGTGCAGTTCAAAGATGAGTTTCTCTAAAGAGAACTTTGATTTCAGGCGTCGGATCTAAATGGGTGGAGACACGGGGGGCTGGGGTGGTGCAAGTACCTATCAATTTTCCATATAATTTCTTTCATTGAGTAACCCAGTGGTCTCGCAGTTAATCATTTCCCTCAGAAGTGATGAAACCGATTGAATTATTAGTTGGAGACTTTTGAGATAAAGTTTGAGATCTTAGCTTTGCCCACTTTAAATGCTGGGCAAAAGGAGGTCACTCGCTACTTGTTAATTACTGCTAATTAGTGTGACGTAATTAATTATAAACAACATGGCTCATAACAAGGAGTCAGTGAACATATGAGAGACATGACATTCAACACAACAAGCTTTATGTGTAACATTTCACAGCAGAAATAGGCCTTGATAAGAAACAAGCTCTCCAACACTGTATCAGCAGCTCCATAGCTCTTGATAAAAATGACACAACTATAGATAGACATTAGACAGAGAGAAGTCACTTTTAAATCAAAAGTCTAAATGGGTCATTTCCAGCCGTCGGTGGAATTAATTCAGAAGATTAACTTTCTTTTTTCCTTAGAAATATTTTTATTCCCTTTGACATTTACTGTCCTTTAGATACCGCCCGTTTTAGTCACGGCTAAATACAGGCCACACTGTAACACAGACATTTATACCTATAGCGCTTTGACAGAGCCCAAAAACTGGGACTATATTACTAGGCGGATTAATACCAAGCGTAATTGTATTATATGTCTTAATCTGATTTTCATTAAAACGCAGAGCTGGGAGGGCTAATTGTGAGGAGAGTGTCACAGACTAATATCTATTAAAAGTCAAAATGGCTGTAGGATTGGGAGGGGGGCTTTCCGACAAGCCAAGCATGGAATTAAATTATATGACACCTTATTAGGTCTAATGGAGGGGACGGCAGCACAGAGCGCAGATCATTTGGCTCGCGGCACCAAAGGGAAATGAAAATAAAAACAACACGGCATGAGCAGGCCAAGGAATCTGTGCTGTAGGCTTCTTTCATTTACTACAAAGATTTTAACAGTCTTAAAGAGCGGAGAGGTAAAGGGGAAAGAGAAAGGGCATTTGACACAGAAACCCTCTGTACAATTTTACATACACTTTTTGTAAAATGCATTATCAAGGCACAATAAACCAAAAAATCTGTATAACTTCTCATAAAGCTACACAATCTAGGACATCCAAGCTGAACTCAACTCCCGGTTTTGTCCTGGTTAAGCTCTAGTGCTGTGGTAGTGGTTCAGTGTTTTTTGAATATTTGCCCATTAACCTGTAGCAGGTTTGATTCCTGATGTATTTTGTGTTATGTTACTGGATTTGCCTCACATGAATGGTTATATGGAAATTCTAATATTTTCATAGCAGAAGAAATGGGAGTACCTTTTGCACTTTCATCCCCTTAACTTTTTCATCACAAAACATAAAAGGTGCAGTACCTGATTTTACCTACCTGCTTTAGAATATTTCTGTACTGATGCAAGATAAATTTCGGTCAAATAAATCTGGTACAGGACATTTAAAATAACCACTGTAAAACAAATAATCAAGGCAAATGAAAATACTAAAAATGAATCAAAGCATTCAGAGACTTTTTTCCATTGAACATTGGTCCTCCTAGCTGTAAACAACAACACTCCCCCCTCACTTGTTGTGTGTACAAAGCATGAAAGTGAAATTAATGGACGCCAGTGTTTTCCATAATGGAGAACAAATTAGAATATGGCAGCGACACTGGCAGGCGTGCAGCAGCCTTGTGTTTGCCATGACAAATAACAAGGGCTCGACATTAATTGTGAAATAACGAGAGTGGAATGGTGCTCTCCCAGCCCTCTCGCCCATGTTGCAGACACAGAGGGCCCTGCTCCAATGGGTTTCTGGTCAGGTGTACATCGCAGGCAGCCTGTAAGTGAGTTGTACTGCCATGGTGGAACATGACGAGGGTCACACAAAAGGGGGATTTAATCGGCACGTGCCACAAGCTGTTTTACAAGCCTAGAGAGGCAGGAAGCACTGTGGGAGCTACAAGTGTGCACTTGGACGCTGACTGGGAGTTTCAGACTCAGAGAAGGGACAAGAGCCTGGACTCAGGTATAGGTTGTTTTGTATTTTCCACAAATTAACACAGTAGTCATGTTTATTAGTAACAAGGTCCATGATCTTACTATATCTAACCAACATTTTACTGGTCCAATCATCATCAAAGATATAGTTAAAAGGGGGGAATTTTACTTCCATGGGATATTAACTGCTAACACATTAACATATTTAAATCACCATGTTACCGCTTATTGTTTAGAAAATGCTATATTAGCTGAAAACCTTAATATGTGGGAGCATGGATAACGTAGGCTTGTGGGCTGAACATTGGACAGAATCAAACTACATACTATATTATGGTATGTAGTATGATTTGAACACAGGAGTGTTCAAATACGGCCCGAGAGAGATAAATTACTGAAGCATGCATAGATGACACAGATGTCTAAAACTTCTTCAGGAACAACATTATAACATGAAAGCTAAAAAAAATAAATACATTTTGCATAATACCCCCTCTTTAACACATTAGTTGTCTACTAAGTATCATTAAAAAGGTCCATGATATCTTATATCTAACCAACCAGTTTGGCCATGTAAAAACATCTATTAAACAATGCCAAAGAATCTTGTGATGTTATCAGGATAATAATGTAAAATAAACACTTACATAGTCATTATATAGCACTTTCTACTTCCACTGGGTTCTCAAAGGAACTATACTCCAGTTTAATCACACATCAGTACACAAACTCTGGAGGCAATAATGGGGTTTGGGTGTCTTGCTTAAGGACACAGTGACCGTATGCATGGGTGAGAGCAGCCGTTAGAGATTAGGGTGAGTGTGCACATGTTTTACCAATTAAGTGACAGCTGATCAAACGTCGATTTCCCTATTCAACAATATGTTATGCTTTAGGTTACTAGGCCGTCTTTACATGATCACTGGCCAATTCTGAATTAGAAAACATTGTGGACTGCCAGATGCTTAATTATTTTGAACAACACTACACGGTTTCAACTCAGATAATGCAGGAAATAGTGTTCACAGATACTACAATTTCAAACTCGATTTCAAACTAAGGAAGAAACTCGATAATCAACCAATAATAAAAAACAATCTTTTTAAAAAAAAATAGAATGTGATTTTCCATATTAAATTGGACTACTTTCTTTAATATTACCATGCGGTGTTGTGTTTAAGCACTCATTCGTCCAGGTAGGTTTCATAGTGGTTCACGGGCATATAGTCTATATGGTCTTATACTTAGGAAAAGTTCATTTCTGTCCTGTTCTTAGTATCTATACTTGCTAAAATGAGTATGTAGTTTCGATACTAGTTTCAGTATTGATTAGTATCTGATTTTCAATACGTTTGACAACTGTAATAGGAAGCCCGGTTGTTTCCCTTTTAATTCTGCATTAACAATAACTGTACATTCTGCATCCCTAGAACACAATGCCTAAATGACTTATTCAGAATGTACTTTGGTGTAATGTAGAAAAATGCATACAAAAATGTGAGGAAAAAAATATCTATTAAGCAGTGAATGCTCTTCATGGTACATTAGGATCCTGGCCCCCGTGCTATCCACAATAATGAGTGTGATTTAGTGATTTCACGCTTTGTTTGTCGTGGCTGGCCCACCGCCCCTCTCTGGATCCCCCCGTACACAGGTGTATTGGCTCAGTGTAATAAGATCATTACCACCCTGGTCGCTAAACGTGTTTATTTGCCTTCTCTTTGCCTCCTGATCTGCATCCAAACAGCCATTTAACTCAAATAAGCTCCGTTGTACAATTGGCCAAACAGGAGTCGATTCAGATCATTCTAAGACTTGTGGGTTATTCCGGTAATCTTATCTCAGTGGCCACAAATTAGATTATGCACAAAAAGCATGGGAGCAGTACAGGAATATGAATGATATAACTTGGCTTTAAGGAAGACAAACCAACAAGATTTATTGTTCATGTTTTAAAGCACAAAATGATGTATTGGCATGCAGGACACTATTTCAGCTTTCAGTTTGACACTGAAGATTTTTATGTGTATTATGCCCTCTGTTGGCCATAGAGGGAAGTGAGTATTGAAAAAGGCCTAATAGCAGAATAGCTAATTAGCATGACCTGACTCCAAGCTTGTGATACATTTAATGCTATACTTTTAAACACTCAAGGCAAAGCAACAACTTTCCCATGGAAACAAGAAAGTGGTGTACCCTCTACCAAGTTTCATAGTCATAGTGTAGAAAGTTGAAACTGAGCACATTGTTCGTTTAGAAGGGCATAACCCTTTCTTCATTAATGGTAGCTTCGTTAAACAACTTGGGAGATTTTTACACAGGATCCCTGCCTGTTGTAATCCATTCACAATCACAATGGATACTTTATAGTTGGGAGGGAATTTGTGAAATATAAGGATTGTGCACTTCTGGAAAAGTTTTTGATTTTTGGCAGGGTGTTAGGTATGGGCCTAAGGTTTTTAAAAATCCATGGATACAAGCTGGGGTGTGGTCCCTAGTGGCTGGTATACATGAAATCCAAAATGGACTCCAGCGAAAGGAGAAAAGGTTGTATGCCACCTTCCTTTTGTCTTAAATTGATGTATAATGATTTTTTTTCTACTTGACTTGATAAAAGGAATGTGATTTCAATATTATCTTTTTGTTTTAAGGCTTTTTCATATCAAATGTATTGTTATAGCCACTTTTTGCTTCAAAAACGGTCCATATGTTTGAAATGAAATAACATACTGTATAAACATCATTCAGACCTCTAAACCCACATGTACATTCTTAAAAAATAAAAATTGAACATGTTACCATCATTTTAATGTGAAAAGTATTGTTATGCAAAAGCCTTTACCAGAGACTGGCTATTTCAGTCAAATAAGGTGCAG